GAGTACGAGAAGGTACTCAGCTAGACTTACCCGATCAAACCAGAAATAAAAGACACCAAGGATCATGCAAGGCTTATGAGGTGGGCTAGCCTTACACATTTGCATAAAAGAGCTTATGAAGATAGTGACCAATTTAAACTTAGCATCAAGCTTATCATCATTTACCTGTCCATTAGATTAGCACCTGTACTAGAGCACTCACTTATTAGGAGCAATCAATATTAACCATAGCAGGTAAAATAAGGTTGTCATCATCATATCATTATTTTCGAACCATTATGTTATTTAGTGTGTCTACATTGGAGATAAGTCCGTCAAGTTCTCATTAACCGAAAGAGACGGCGACTCGATTCGAATTACAACTCAGCTGAGGGGGTATTCCTAACTCTCACCCTGGCATACTTTGCAAGGGTAGCCGTGGGTCACATTTAGAACAACTCAGGAACCAAATTCGCGGGTTCGATCGGCCAAAGCACTCTCGTGGGATTACCCTTACGCCGGATTTATCGGGACTTTTAAATCACTGTCCTTGGACTCACGCCTCTGGCTCTCTTCCGAGCGCACTTTATACTTATCGACTCCCGGCTGAGGTGAGCTACTCGGCCATGGGTCGGTCTTGAACCACGGCCAACTAAGAGAGAGGCATGCGTTCAACATGAACAGGAAAGGCTCCAAGATTCAGTCCTTAATCGACACAGACGGAGTCACTGCAAACCGGCAAGCCTCCGTCCGGTCTTCATTTCAAATTAAGACCGGTTCTTTTCCACGATAGCAAATATAGCCAACCGTGCCATATGTATCTTCCTATATCTCGCAGGTGACAGGAAATCACCTGACTTCTACCGTGTTAAAGCAGGGCTAAGCACTACACGAGCCTGAGCTACATAAGATTCAGGGTATCAATATCTGGATAAGAATTGAATAACCAATGCAGCAAGTGTTTGCATCCAACACCTAAACGTAATGCAACAATATATATATATATGTAACAATAATACTTTAACTGCATTTCGGAAATTAGGAGGCTTAATATACTCCGGGGCTTGCCTTTCACAAAGTTGCACGGATGGTGATCCGGGCACTCAACGGCAACCTCGTCTGTCACTTCTCCTAAAGGCTGCTCCTCCTGAATCTCCGGTGTCGGCTGCTGCTGCTCGCTCGGTTCCTCGAATTCCAATAGGGTCACTCCTTCCGGTACACCTATTGCATGCCGATGCACAAGATAAATATCATGGATGCATAAAGAATGACATGATGCTCATGATGAATGAATCATAGTAAGTGTTTAACGAAAACATCACTGGACACTCGTTTACCGATTAAGAATAGCTTTATTCAAATCACTTTAAAACGTGTATCTAACTTAACTTGAAGAACAAGATCAACTTGCATAACCTAATATAAAGATGCTCATCCTCAGTTAAAGGCCTAACACCTAGGAACATTACCACAAACTTAGAAATAGTAAAGGCATACTTAAAACAACAGTTAAAGTTTCATATGCACACGGGTAGTTCCTTAATTCAATCATAACCAGAGCTCTATAAATTCAAATGACTTGCAAGAGGACATTCTGGAAAACTTATGAAATTCTCTACAAATCAGTTGTAAACATCAAAGCATGATTCTTATGTTAACCAAATCGAATTCCAGTAAACCTAGAATCTGTCCGAAAATGACAGGTTAAGCTAAATTAAATATTTAGTGATGATACAAAAGCCTAATTGGACCAAACCAAATTTACCAACTTGTTGCACATGCCAAAGGAATATCAGAAAGTATAGTGCCAACCTCTAAATAAATTATTTAATGTCCTTTTCTAATTTATTTAATTAATTAGGTGATTAAAGCAATATATAGTAAAACTGTTCGAAAAACTATATAAAAATTACAGTAGCTATCTCATGCTTCACATAGACTACCATAAAAATTTTAAAACCATTGGGCAAGCAGAACTTGCTTGTATCCAAAATAACAGTGGCATGTCTATTTTTAGCATAATTAGAAAACCCTATTGAAAAGTGTCAAGCAACAGATTTCTTATTTTTCCTAGCATCATTCTAGCATAAGAACAACACTCACCAAATTTTACCCTTACTGGATCTATAGAAAATTTATGAAAATTCACACAAGACCCATCCATACAAACAAGAGAATTTCCTATCTCCTACATACAGTGTTCAAAATATATGAAAATTTAACTACAAGTTATTCATGATATGAGCAGTACACCATAAAAATTTCATGCTATTTGGAGCTACATAGAAAAAGATATAATTACCCCTATTTCTTTCATGATAAAATAGATAATTAGCAACTCCATTTTTCATAACAGAACATAGCATAAATTATATTTTAATAAAAACTAGACAATCTCATGAACTCAACAAAATTGGAACCACATCATTTGGATCTACCAACTAGGAGATACATATTTTTGAATATATACACAAATCGGTGAAAAGAATAAAACAAAACACAAATAAGAAAACCTATCTCAGCTCTTGGGCGGGCCGGTCGAGACTCGGCAATGCCCACACAACACTGTATTGGCGCAACCGAAACACTGACGCTGCCCACGCAGCTCCTCCCTTTGAGCCTCGGCCCGACGCCGCTGGTCCCACGCGACAGAGAGATAGGCAGGGGAGGAGGAACGGATGGCGGCGTAGCTCGTCGCCGGTGGCCTCTCCGGCGAGTCCAGCGGTACTACGATGTTCTCCTCGCCCGTCCGCATCTAGCGGTGCTCTCAATCGAAGCTATTGCTGCGGCTACTGGCAATGGCGACGGCCATGGCGGCGCACGGCCACGGCATGGCCGGCTCCGGCGAGACGACGGCGTCTCGGCCCTAATGGCCCACTCTACGAGCTTCAGCGTCACACACAGCAGCAAGCGCAAGGGAGAGAAGGGACGGTAAGGGCTCGGCAAAGCCGCGACCCGCGTCGAGCTTCGGCCGGCGGCGTCATGGCGGCGACTGGTGGAGCCGCTCACGGTGAGCTCTACACGAGTCGAAAATGGAATGACGGTGGGGTCAGGGCGTGGAGAAGCTCTTGGTGGTGCTGTGGCTGGGATGAATCGGTCCAAAGGCGCTTCGGTGTTGGAGGATTTGGCTCGGTGGCGTCACGGTGTCCCGGTCATCGTGCTCTCGCGGAGGAAGGAGATGGCAGAGCGAAATGGCGAGTGAACGAGCGAGTGGCGAGACGTTGGCCTTCATCTGGAGCTCGGACGCGCGACGTGGAGACTTTGGCAGAGCATGCGCGCCACGCGGCGAGCAGCTCCTGCGCCGGTCGGCCACGGCGGCTCTGTCGGTTTTCTGAAAACGGACTGAAACGACGCCCGATGGCACGACTTACAGCGTGAATTCGACGGTCCATAACTCCCAAACGGTGGCGATCTGATTCATGGTGTAGTTAACAAAATTGAAGATCGAAGTGAGTACAACAACTTTGTCAAAAGGAGCTCGAGTTGGTTCGGCCTGGTTAGGGAGATACAAGCCTCCAAACAGTGATACTCGAAACTGCAAATCGCCTTAAAGACTTAGAAAAATTCTAAGTGTGAATTCAGCATGGAAATATGACTTGTGGGCCTTGTTTGAACATGTTCTAGCCATTTTCATGAGTTGGTCATAAAACAACTTTTGTTCCTTGGTAAATTAGCTACAACTTTGGTAAAGAGTGCACAGCCATGCAAGGTCTCTAAGGTAGTCTTTTGAATCAGTCAAACAGTGGCACTCTAAGGGTCAATTCAAGTCAAACCTCTCCAAAAGGGCAATTTGGTCATTTTGGTCCACATGAACAGTGTCCAAACAATTACCCTAAGTGTAGTTAAGGTGTATTAGACCATAATCAACCACTTTACACAAGTGCTATACCCATGTCAAATGATCACATGTGATGAAACAACAAAACAAGCAATTCACCCAAATGTTGCAATGCAATGTTTCACATGTTTCATGACTTTGTTGTTATTTTACACTTGTCACATTACTACCATATGGCCATGTTTCAAGGTATGAGCAATTCATGTTGCATTCACAGGTTGCACTACTACCATTCATAAGCAATCAAGTATGAAACAAACAGAATTTGCAAATGTTGCATATGTGTGTTTCAGTGACAATGGCATGATGACATAGATGATGCATATGTTTATGAAATGACATGCAATTTAGTGGAAGCCAAACACCTCGGGTGTTACAATCAACAGTTAGCTTCTGTTGATTGAATCATGATACAAGAATCACTAATCAAAATAGAAAAAATGTGCTAGAGTCTAGAGTTTGTTATTTTTATCTTTATTTCAGTAAGTTCCACTCATGTAGCTGTTTATATGTAGTTAAACTGTTAAATTAAATGATTCTTAAGAAAATCCCTATAGATAAAACGGAACCCTTTGTTTCCATCAAGAATTGTTGAAATCAAGCGTTAGTGCGAACTGGCGATGGTAAATCTGTTAAATTATAGGGTCAATCAATTCATCCATCAAAACATATCATGACTTGATGTTGCAGAATTTGTTTATTCTTGGCAAAATGGTGATATCTGATATCTCTCTGCCTTTTTTTGATATACTCCTACTTTTCTTTTTTGCTTTAGTTTCCTTGGATTTTGTTTATTGTGAAAATGATACAGTCGATAAAGCTTTTGTTTGTTATTATTGCATTGTGATGGCACTAGATGTGGCAGAAATTATCTCAATGAACTTATCCAGTTGATGTGGACATTACTTGATCTCCATCAGAAATCTAACTATTATTGGGATATTAACCAGAGTCATATCCATAGCCAGTTCAAGCATACCATCTACACGAGCATCTATTGCTTGATCATTTACACTTTTGCTTTTGGTGGTTCTTTATCCTAATTTAGCTCATATTATTATTAAATATATGAATATGCTAGGAGTACAAATGAAACACTCTGCTTCATTGCTTCCTTTAAAACAGCATTAGTACCTGGTGTTACTGAGTAATGACAATTGACCAGTGTATTTTGGTAGTGTAGCTTGCAGATGTATGGTCCTGTGGAGTCACTCTTTTTGTCATGCTTGTGGGAGCCTACCCGTTTGAAGATCAGGATGATCCTAAAAATATTAGAAAGACCATTCAGGTGATAGCTAGGTGCCTATGTTACGGATGCTCTTCACATATATTGAGGAAAAAATATGTTTTACCCCCTAACATTTACACCTTTATTTTCAGCGAATAGCAGCAATTCAATATAATATCCCAGACAACATGCACATATCTGATGATTGCAGACAGCTCATTTCACGCATCTTTGTTAGCAATCCATTAAGGGTAATACAATGAACCATCTCAATTGTAGTGTCACTGTATCAGCATGGTTATTGGGTCTATAACTGGCTTACCTTTGTTGTTTGCAATTTTGAATTTCCCATAGAGAATCACCATGAGGGAAATAAAAAACCATCCATGGTTTCTAAAGAACTTGCCGAGGGAGTTCACAGAAGCGGTGCAGTTATCCTACTTCAGGAGGGACAACAGTGTCTCTGCTTTTTCAGAGCAAACAACTGAAGAAATCATGAAGATTGTCAAGGAGGCAAGAATCTTGCCAAAATCATTGAGATCAGGCTATGGCTACAGTGAAGAATGCTCAGATGAGGAGGAAAAGGAAGAGGAGAGCGAACTCAAAGAGGAGGAAGAAGAAGATGAGTGTGATAAGAGGGTTAGGGAGGTTCGCGAAAGCGGGGAGCTGGATATGACCTCACTGCACATCTAAATGCTGCCTGTGACGTGTCTCAATGTAGATAATTGGCTTTATTGTCTGCTGAATTTGGTAGAATGTATGCAATACTGGCGTCAGATATAGTAGTCTATTTAAGCCTTCTCCACCCTGTAATATATTTGTTTTGTTGAACTGTATGTGTGGTATATGGGTTTGTTCTAAAGGAGCAAGGTTTTGTACAGGCACACCTGATTGTGTTTTTGGATAGGAAGTTCTACCGTTTGTTTGCACTCTGTAGCAACATTTTGGAGTTTGTAAGCCATATGTTGGGGCATATCCAGTAAAATTGGATGAAATGCTGCAAATTCTGTCAGAATGAGTTGTGTAACTTTGCAAACATTGAATATAAAAGTTAAAAGATTTTGAAATCGAGTATGCATTTTCCCCATGAAAAGTTTACTTGAGTCTTAGAAGGAGGGATAAACGAACATGCGTGGACTATAAGGTGATACCTGAAGAATGTGCGGTCGCTCAACACAAGCTAGTGGTGGCTGACTTCTGCTTTCTGGTGCAAGCTCGTGAGAACAAATAAGTTAGGGTTGCTAGAACGAAGTGGTAGAAATTAGAAGAGGATGCATCAAAGGTTTTTAAGGAAAAGATCATTGAAGAGGACCCCTGGAATGACGAAGGCGATGCAAACAACATGTGGGAGAAGATGTCAACATGCGTTCGGAAGGTTGCTTAAGAGGTGCTTGGACCAAAGGGAGCAGATGCGACTCGAAAGACACTTGATGGTGGAATGAAGATGTGCAAAAAGCTATTAAGAAAAAGGAAGTGTTATAAACGCTTGTACCATGACAGGTGTGCAAACAACATAGATAAATACAAGGTGGCAAAGAAGACTGTAAAACGAGCGGTGAATGAGACAAAAAGGCGGCCTATGAGGACATTTACCGACGTTTGAGTACGAAGAAAGAAGAGAATGACATTTATAAGATGACTATGGCTCGCGATAGGAAGACAAGGGACTTCAACCAAGTCAAGTGCATAAAGGATGAGAGGGAGCAGCTCTTGGTGAATGAGGATGAGATCAGACATAGATGGCAATAGTATTTTGATAAATTATTCAATGGTGAGAATAAGAACACCGTTCAGCTGGACGACTCGTCTGATGACACTAACAGGCGCTTTGTGCGGAGGATTCAAGAATATGAGGTCAGAGAAGCATTGTAAAAGATGAAAGTGGGCAAAGCGATGTAACACCACTGGTGTAACGAGCTCGCTAACCATTGAGATTATGGCCTGAGAATTAGATCAATAAATATAGCAAGTTACGTAGATGGGCATGCAATTTTAAATTTTTGGAGAATAAATATTGTTAGCTAGTATTTTGGGGAGTGCAGAAATCGATTTGAAATTAAATCAACTCTTCTTGGTGAAGTCGACAAACAAATAAGCTTATGTTTAAAATGTTATCTTTGGTGAATTATTATTGTGGAAAATACCTAAAAAGTGCAAAAATATTTTGTTCCTATGGGTTAGCATGAAGTATGGAGTTCTGACGTGATATACTTGTTGGGTAAATTTAAAAGGGTTTAGACCATTTAAAAATTATGATAAAAGTGTTAATGGTTGTTTAGTTCAAGCAGGACTCTCGTCCTTTTTAAGTCTGTAACGATAATCGACAATGCTATTTTGGCATTTGAATTCTAACAAAATTTTCTAAATCTTAGTTTCGTGTTTTGGTACGGTTTGTTGCATCAAAGTGTGTACTTGAGCATGGTGTCGGTGGTAGTTGTGTTGGATGTCCCGTGGTCCTCTTAAAAATTATTTAAAGTTCGTTGAAATGCGTTGTAGATATGCCGTTGGCGCTCTGTTTGTGACCTGTCGTTTAGCGTGACAACGTCGCTCTAACTTCATCTCTGATTATCCTCTGGTCGTAAGAATTTCTTCGAGCTAGCTGTTAGTGCCTACTTGAGTTCGTAAAACCGGTTGAGCCTTCGTCGCATTAGTAAGTTGTTTTCAGTTTGCTTTAAAAAGCGTGCGTGACGTTGTTCCAGACTCTCAGCCTGAGCCCGTGGTCACCACGCTAGCATGTTGCCGCTGCCGTTCCTAGGTGCTCCTAATCGTGGCCGCTGCTCCACTGGCCGATCTCGCTAGCTACTGGCCGCTCGTCGGGCTTGGGGTGGCCTAGGTCGCCTCCGCGAGCCGCTGCGCTGATGGGTTTGCATTCTAGATAGTGAATATAAAATTTAGATTTTGGATTAAAAAAATGAGGGGCGTTTGGATCTTATCCTCGTAGTGACTATTATCTCTGTACAGTGATTATGTCTTAATAGTATTTAGGGTAGACAGTTGGATTCAATTAGAATCCAATTGTTTAGAGGCCATTCCTATTTTTCTCCCTTGTTTTATTTTTGAGATCCAAACGGGGGTCTTGAAGAAACATGCGTGCTGCTTCATCAGCAAGGGAGAGAGAAGAGAAAACAACAACAGTCACCCTAGATGCTTCCAACTTTTCACACCCGTGCCCCCGGCAACCGCACCAACGAGGCAACGACACAGAGAAAAGGATCCTTTTCCTGAAATAAGCCAAACTACCTGGCTTGATCTACAAAACGTGCCGGCAAACAAACAACAGAAAAAAAAACCTTCGCCGAGAAGGAAGAATCAGCCGGGCGGTTGGACGCGGAGATGCCGAGACGAAGGAGTCGCCACGAACCTATCGACTTGTCTCCAGATCCAGATTAGCCACGACGGCACCGCCAGCCCGGACGGACGGCTATAAAGAGGAGCCCTACCTCGTAGTCGATGGCGATGAAGAAGACCAGTTCCCAGCTCCGGCAGCTTAGCAACCCTCACCTGATCCTCCTGTTCCTCACAGCAGCAGCAGCAGCAGCCATGGCGGCCGAGCCGGAGAAGCAGGCGGCCCCCGCGGCGCAGGAGACGGCCGTGCACATCGTGTACGTCGACCGCCCCGAGGACGCCGACCCCGAGGAGTTCCACCTCCGCACCCTCACCCCCGTCCTCGGCAGGTAATCCGTCAGATCGGTCTAACGGGACCCGATCGGGCCCGCGCTTGTTGGTAGGATGAAATTTGGGTCGATCGTTCCTAATTTGTGCCGGGGATACCAATTTTTTTTTAATTTGGAACGTGGTGGGTTTTCTGATGCGGTGATTTTTTCCCCCTTCGGTTTCGCAGCGAGCAGAAGGCCAGGGACGCAGTGCTCTACCACTACAAGACCGCCGCCAGCGGCTTCTCCGCGAAGCTCACCCCGCAGCAGGTCGAGGATCTCAAGAGTGAGTCCTCCCTTTAAATATCTTCCTGTGATTAAGCTGTACTGCTTGCTTCGGGATGCCCTTGCTTCATCATGCCGCGGTTGTACTGGGGGAAATTTTGCATAGGGTGATTCTTGTTTGTAGTTGCTCCAAATGATCAAACTAGTGGATGCTCATGGTGTATGAAATCCTTGCTCAATTCGCAGTATTAAATCTCCAAGCTGTAGATTGTTGGATGCTTCGACTTGATTTTTTGTAGGATAATAATTAATCGAAGTGATTCGCTCTCCACATTATTGTGCACACAGAATACTTAGGGAATTGGGGATCTAATTGGGGAATTGTGATTGTAGCTTACTGATGCGCTGTGGGCACCTAAGTACTCCAATGCTCCCACTATAATCTTGGAGCATGCTCTTATTATGGCCCTGTTTGGATCCATTAGCTGCTAATAATTAGCTTGATAATAGTTCATAGCTAATATTAGCTAGTTTGGTCCAACTAGTGAAATGGTTGTTAGTTGGTATTCAACTAACAATTAGCTAGACATATTTGGATCCAAGCTGCTAATTATCAGCAGCTTATATTAGCTCTACGGATCCAAACAGGGCCACATCTGCCTTTCCAATGAACAGAAAGAAGTTTTTCGTCGAGTTTACAACTAAAGCTTTATCCAGATTTGGCAGACATTTGAGTGGTAACAAGTTACAACTTCATCCCATAGTGACGGACAGCTACTGAATAGTTGTGAATTGTGATATTCATATTCTTGACTGTTGATGACAGAAGTCCTAGAGAATACATTAGGGAATTCAACATTTTCCTTGTGGACTGGGACCTTTATTTGTTCACTCGTTGGAGTAATTATGTATGCTATGTTTCGTTTTTTACGACATGTTTTATTAGTTTTTTTTTTTTTTGTGAATAGACATGTTTTACTAGTTTACAACTCTATTTTTAACTGAGGTGTTGAGCATGATATGGTCAAAAATCATTCAATACCTGTTGTAGAAACCCTACAGCTCATTCTATATCATCAGTCATCGTGCACTAGCACTCGTTATCCAACAAAGAGACATTCTGTATCTTGGTTTAAGTTCCTCAAGTCATTCCTGTATCTAGGCTGCTTCTCAACCTGGCTATTGCTTGTCGGTTTGTTTTGCAGAGCAACCAGGTGTTCTCCAGGTTGTGCCGAGCCAGACTTACCAGCTACATGGTCCTGGTGGGTCTGGCACCCGCCAGGGCACGACACGCACCTTGGGCCTTATGTGAAGAAGGCGTACGAGAATCAAGAAGACTGTGTTTTAGTATGGCTGTATGGCACAGGTCTGAGACGATTGTGTAGTACTTATAAGAATAAGGGACGTATCGTCTACTGTAAACTGCTTTACGCATGTTCAGTTCAGTCCTGCTCTAAAGCTTGTAATGCACTGATGCGTATGTTTTCAATATAATGATGACAAGTATGCTATCTTGGTTGGTGCTTTCGGTCCGTGTTTGAATCTTGAAGCTGCAGTGCAGTACTCTGCATTCGCTTGTGTTGCTTATTTGCCCTCTTGAGTTGGTTTTCTAGATCCTGTTATGAACCAAGTGGGTGGGGAGGTCGTCAACGGTGCCACCCGCCAATCGGGTCCACACGGCAGTGACTATAACTACATAGGCTGAGGCTGCGTTCGGCTGGTTGGTTTTTCAGCCGGATTTTACTGTTCCCGACTGAAAACACTGTTTACGCTCTGCCAAATTCTTCCAGATTTCTCCAAATTCCTTCCAACAAACCGGCCCATACCTTTAGAAAGGAGCACGGGTCCGTGCGTCAGTGTCCATAGCCTAAAAACACGATACTTTTTCAGGACGGACGGAGTACGCGATGTCTCGTCACTCGTGTGTCTCGCACGTACTCGTCGTGTGCAGGTTAATTACGTTTTTTTTCGGAGGGAGTACACGATGTCTTGTCACTCGTGTGTCTCGCACGCACTCCCGCAGTCTCGCACAGGCTTGCGCGTCCATTCAGGCTTCAGCGACGAAACGGCTCACGTGTCTGCCCATCGCTTCCCAACCGCAGCGCAGCGGCGAGATCGACCTCCTCAATCGGTGACGACCTTTCCGTGTCGATCCCCCAACCCAAACTGATGGAGGCTGCGGTCTCCTCCAGCGCCGGCGAGTCGGCGGGCGAGCTGCTTCTCCGCGCGGCGGCGCTGGTGCCGTGGACGCGCTACGCCCTCGCCGCCGCGCTCCTGTACAGGTTCCTGGAGCTCCACTTCCTGGGCGACCTCCTCCGCGGCCTCCGCGTCTCGCTTACCTTCCACCCCGAGTCTCAAGTGTACCACCGGGTCGCCTCCAGGTGCCGCTCGCTGCACGGCAGGTGGGTGGGCATGTGTGGGATGCTAATATGCTATCATGGCTCATGAGACATCTGCTCTGCCTCCCTCTTCCGGAGAAAATTTGCCTTATGATTTCGTTGCGTAGGTACCTGGCGACGCCGTGGTTAGCCCTCATTTGCAGACGTTGTTCCTGAGCATATCTGGCAGGCTGCCTTCATTCACCTATCGGAGGTTGGAGTAAAATAGTAAATCATTGTCATTACTGATATTACTAAGCATTTACGTGTTGCGTTCTTCATGGTGTCGTTGCTCACTTGCTTGGTAGTTTCCCTGCAGTAAAGTTACTACATAGTGGTTGTACTTGTACATTGTTATGTTTCTGTTGTTGCTTTACTAAAACTTAGCTGATGCAACTATGTGAATGGACACATGATAATTCAATTTTGGCTACGCAATTCTGTGTTTTATTATATGGCTGTTGCACAAAGTCCAAAAAAAAGTTAGGTACTCCATCTGGTCCAAATTATGATTCACATTGGCTTTATCCTAAGTTAAACTTCTTTAATTTCGACCAAATTTTTAGAAAAAATATAATAACATCTTCAAGTTCAAATAAATGTCATATCAAGACATATTCCATTATGAATTTAATGAAACTAATTTCATGGTGTATGTTAAGTTAGTTTGACTTAAGACAAAGTTAAAGAACTATAATTTGGAATGGTGGGAATATTTCATAAGTGTGAACATATGATGTATGTAGGGAGGCAAAAGTTGTTTTTCATATGTCCAGAAAATGTTTCTCTCATTGTTTCATTTCAGTAGTCTGCAATTTGTGGCCATACATATCAGCTTGATACATGGAGGAGAGACCCGCATATTTTTAAATTGGGACCTTACAGTACAAGATAAAAACTGCAATGATATAGAGTTTTATGACTGTGGTTATCTTTCACAGTGATTCGACTATTTATATTGCAGGCAGCTGTACACTGTTCGTGATGGTGGGACCATTGCCTTAGATTGGTTACTAGCCTCTGATCTTGAAGGTTCTGCAAGTTTAGATAGTTTAAGATTGATTAGCAAGCAAATGGATGATTAACCTTTTCCTTTTGGTGCTATGTTGCAGCTGGAGATGTTGGCACTTGTGATGGAACCATTTCTAAGGATGATTCAACACCCCTTCTTGTTGTGATACCTGGATTAACTAGTGATTCTAGTGCTGCTGTAAGTCGATCAGTTTAAACAAGAACTGGAAGTTAACTGTATAATCCCTGTTTCATTTTAGCTACCTTTATGATTTATTCTAAACAAGATGTGGGGGGTTTGTTGCAGTATGTGAAGCACTTGGTCTTTTTTATGGCAATCAAAGGATGGAATGTTGTTGTAAGCAATCACAGGGGTCTGGGTGGCATCTCCATAACAGTAAGTTCTACCATAGATCAAAACTTATGATAAGACACGATTTTCTATTCAAAACCAAGAATTTTTTGTAAGTTAGTTAACCTTAAAAACACATTCTAACACCAGAAGAATCGTCACCAACATTAGTTGCTGGTTGCTGATACAAGGCTTAGCTGCCTATTGTTACTTTTTTTTTCTGTTGGCAGTCTGATTGCTTTTACAATGCCGGGTGGACGGAAGATATGCGTGAAGTTGTTAATTTCCTTCATCAAGAGTATCCGAAGGCTCCACTATTCACTGTTGGGACAAGCATAGGTGCCAATATTGTGGTGGGTTTCACCACCCTTTTTTCACCACCCTGTGAAAAAATTACTGCAGCTGTTACTTAATAGTTTAAGGTTACTTCTGAAATTTTCATATAATATCGCCCATTTAGGTCAAGTACCTTGGAGAAGAAGGTGAAAATACACCTGTAGCTGGTGCTGCTTCTATTTGTTCTCCCTGGGATCTGCTGGTTAGCGACTATAGTTAATTAATTTAACAGAGGCTTCACAGCTTTTTCTGATTTTAAATTGTGCTTTTATGCAGAAATACTTTGATTTGCATATCAATTGTACCACACCTGTGGTTTCAAATACTGTTACTTCAGTTTCTGTGCCTACTCATCTTTCCTCAGTGTCTTAGTTAACGAATTACAAATGATGCTCTTCTATCACTTCCATTTCGCAACGCAACACTTTGATTATTACTGATTATACATAGTATATTGTTATATCACTGCAATTATGCAGGTGACCAACAGATTTATTTCACGCAAGCTCGTGCAGCGATGTTATGATAGAGCTCTTGCGATTGGTCTCAAAGGATATGCAAAACTGTATGTACTTGTTAAGCCCTTTCCCATGCAATCTTGTGAACCTTACCTTTATGTTTTTCTGCTAACTAATGTTTACTAATTACTGAAAAAGTTCTTGCCACATTGATTAACTGCGATGATGCTTCTCCTTCCTAGATCGCCACCATTTTGAACTTAGAAGATCTTTCTTTGTCTAGTAATGCAACTGAACAATATAATATATTCTACTTTTGTTCCATACTCTTTTTCAACTGTGTTACTTTTACAGACATCAACCAGTCTTGGCACGACTTGCAAACTGGGAAGCTATTACATCGGTAAGATAGCATTGTTGGTCTGTTTTTTCATAGTCATGCAGTTGCAGTCCTTATCATGTTTATGTGTTATTGAGTTTGCATTAAAAAACAACAGATGTAGTCCATTTAATAAGCAGTTTGACTACATTTCAATAAATTAGCTGGTTATACGACATGTTGTGCTTACCCCCTTTTTTTTCTTTCATCAGTCACACTCTATCCAGGAATTTGACCACCATGCCACTTGTGTTGTTGCGAAATATGAGGTATTATTTCTAATGCTAAATCTGCACCATATTCTTTTGCACAATCAGCAATGTATTCATATTTTAGATTGTCTAAAACTGTTGGTTACAGTTTCATTGCTCTCTTTTCTCATCATAACTACATTTTTTATTCCATTGGAAATTAAGTGGAATAAAGCAAACCCCCCCCCTTCGCGCCCCATTTTGCTTGTGGACTACTCGTTCCATTAAATGGACTGACACAGTAGAGTGTGTCCAGCCAAAACATATTCTTTTTGACCAAACAACAACAACAACAAAGTCTGTCGGTCCCAAGCAAGTTGGGGTAGGCTAGAGTTGAAACCCACTAAGCGCCCCTAGTCACGGTTCAGGCACTTCAATTCTGCCTAAAATATGTAGCTTACATGATGGAATTAGATTATCCATGATAAATTGATAATTCCATAACATCGCACCTCTTTCAAATATGTGGATACGATTCTAAAATATTTTCATCAAAACAGCATCTCATTGACTTTGAGAATTGGGAAACTGGCTGGTGACCATTGAAAATGCAAAAGTTGAAGAAATTTGATGCAACAGTGCTATCACAAAAAAAAAAATCACAGAGCAGTCACATCAAAAGATTAAAGAGAAAAATCCAAGAGCACTCAAAATTTAGGCACTAGTTTAAACAGTGAACCATTGTTAACAATCAGATGACTCCATATCGAAAGCATGTAATGGTCTGCTCAATCTCATGTTGCACACTTGAGCCTCTTGCTTGATTTTTTTTTCACGAACAACGTAGGAGAGCTGTGTGTCATTTCATTAAGAGAGGGATAAAGTACAAAGGGAGGGGCAAATCCATCCCCTCCCAGACACCCCACACACACCAGACTTTCAGGCTAACAGACACACCACTTTACAAATAGTAACAACCAGGAAAAGGCTAAGACCTGAAGGAAAATCCTCTTGCTTGATTGAGTCCAGCATCCAGGGCAGACGGTTACAAAAGTGAGGTTATCATATGGTATTTTGTGGCCTCACTAGTAGCATGGACTACATGTGTTTGGTTTCAGCTCTTAATAAATCAAAGGAAACCTGAAACACTTGCTACTGATAGTGACAGTAGAAGCAAGGGCAGCATCAAGGATTGCAGCCTTGGAATTTGCAGGTCTGCATGGGAAAATATTGAATTGGACACCTTAGTTCTGGACTGATGGCATAGCAACACTTTGTTACTGTCGAGATGAGAAAGATGTATTAAGAATTTCAGCCAGTTCTAGCATACGAATTTTATTTGTAGAGTATTTATACTTTATAGAATACAGGTTACTTGAACATGAATCATAATTGATATTTGGTTTGGGCTCCAAGTTCCAACAGAAAATTCATGACCTAGAGAACTTATCAATGTAACTCAATAAAAATCATGGGTCTTTTGATTCAGTTAGCTAGTGCTATTTAAAATCGTACTGCCGTTGTTGTAATTTAGGTGTTGTATAATTTTTAAGAGTGAATTCCATGTAGTGACTAGCTCCTTTCAGACAGTGGACACATTCTACCGCAAGTGCAGCAGTGCAAATTATATCAGCAATGTGTCAGTTCCCCTGCTTTGTATCAGTGCCTTAGATGACCCCCTCTGCACAAGGGAGGCCATTCCCTGGGATGAATGCAGGTAAACATACGATGAAAGCTCACTATTCTGAATTTTTTTTTTGTTTAATGTGTTGATAAGGCCCCTATGCATGCGCTGATTCAGGGCAAACAAAAACATTGTATTGGCAACTACACCTAATGGCGGACATCTTGCTTTCTTTGAAGGCCTAACTGCTAGAAAGCTTTGGTAAGTTATTTTGCAAAAATGTAAAAATGTTTAGCATCGATTACTCGGTTTTTGCCCTTGCGTCTCCATTTTAACTTAAGATGTGACTTCGGCCTATTTGATCAGCCAATAGTGATTGACGTTCAGCTTGTATTCTATCTAAATGCTTGACAGGTGGGTACGGCCTGTTTCCGAGTTCCTCTGTGCTCTGCATGATGGCCCTTACATGCATCAGCAGAAGGTGGTGCTTGGTAGTAGTTCACATATCATCTCTGGTTAACATAACATAACATGTTATAGTTGAATGCAGGCACAAGAGCATGATTTGCACTCATCGTTGGAATCATCAATTGACAAGAGCCCATATGTGAATTTCATGGAAGACGGAATGGTAGCTGCAGTAACAAATGATGGTCCTAACAACGGTGACTCCTTGCATAACGAGATTTTTGGTGAAATTGAACTCAACGATAGCATGGTTGACCAACACGTCCAACAGAATCAAAACACCGGAGCAATAAAAAATGAAAGTTACAGTTGGGTGGATGATAAAAACAGCTCAGAAGGGAATGCGATGACTGTTCAAGCCCATGGAGGATCTCAAGAACAGCGAGAAGAGCCATATGCGAACAAAATCTGTGAAGCCATTGATCCTGTTAAGAAATCCATAAACCAACTCTGTCGATCCCAGGGGAGGTCAGTCTGGTTGCTTGCTTACATTGCTCTTGTAACCTCTTGGCCGTTGCTTGGGGCCCTAGGTTTTTTCTTCTTCAGAAAAAGGTTTAGTAATTCTCTGTTAGCTAGGAAGCTGAAGAAATTGTAAATTCTGTGCTAACACAGATTTATTTCATATGTAACACGTTAAATCAAATCCTAGTAAGCCATTAATACATGTATGTATGCAACATTCGGTAACAAAAAAAATGACCTACAAGAGAAAGACCGCCCCCTCAGCTTTGCACTAAGAAGAAATTCCTTGTGCACAGACCAAAAAAACATCCGGAGGCCGATTTCTGTAGACGTGCCACCGAACGCTCAGGACACGTACATGCAGCTCTGTGCATCTCGCTAAAAGCGACTCAGCTCAGGAACATAGCCGGCGAGGCGAGATATGCAGACTACCAAGGCTCCTGCGTCCACTACAGACTTGCACACATGTGGGATTTTTTTTTTATTTTTAATCCTTTTTTAAATAATATTTTAATACTAATCCCAAAAAAAGTAATTGTAAATCTGACCCTTTTGGTCACGCCAAGCGAGCCTGGTGCGACTGTACCATGCTGTGGCGCGACAAGCCGAGCCACCGTGGCATTCTTGTTGGACCGATGCTGGTGTGGCGTACCATAGGCCCCGCCCTGTCGCGCAAGCGACTCAAGCGCGACAGTGGCGCGCCAGGCGAGCTAGCGCGACAGGCCCATATAAAGGCCGCGGCCCAGCTCGTTTTTCCTCCCTCTCTTGTCTCTCCCTCATTCAGGGCGACCTCGAGGTGAGCTGAAGCAGCAGTGTTCTCTCTCTTTTCTTCCTCCCATCCTCTATTTGCCTTTGATGAAGTTTACATTTGTATTTCAGGTTTGATTGGTCCGTGCATGAGGTATGACTCCCTCACCTATGTTGTTATTTTTTTTGTTTAGTTGATGTTTTTATATTGCTCTGGTTTATACTGTTGTGTGCAATACTGGCTTTTGTTTGGTTTAATGAAAGTTGTTTTGGCTAATCACGTTTAATATATTATGGTTCATGATGTAGTTGTTGAACTTGTATACTTTTTCTGATTGGTTTTGGTCGGTACTGCATTAGGGTTTGACTGCACTGGTTTAGACAGCAGTATGGGTTGGAGTGTTGTTAGTAAACCTTCTTGGAAGTGTGTGATTTCAAGTATTTTTGTGTTGATTAGATGTATAGATGAGTTGAACTATGTATGTATAGACATCATTTACATTCAATAAGTTTGTTTTAGGGTCTGGCTTCATGGGTTTACATGATTATAGAGATGATTGAGATAGAAATTGTTGTTGAACTGTGTAATATTATTGGTTTATATCTTTGCTTTATTGAACTACTTTGTAATAGGTTCAATGGTGGTTCCAAATGACAACCAATTCGTGTACCATCTGAAGGATCATGGTGCTATCGGTCCTTTCCTTCTAGCAGAGCCAACACCATTGTGTTACTGTGGGTTACCGGCATTTGTGAAGCAGTTAAGGCATCCCGCGTCAGCTGGGCGTGCTTTCTACTGTTGCCAACTTAAGCGACGTCCCCCGACACTTGATGCCTACCTAGAGGGATGCAACTTCTATCAGTGGATTGATGGCGATGAAATGTTCGAGCCATTGATTATGTTGTTTCCTTATGACCCCTGGAAGAGTGTTCCATATGCAGAATATGTTCGTTGGGTTGCGCCGCCACCGAACCCTCCGGAAATGACAGAGGCGGAGAAGGTTGACGCTGCTTTGCGCCGTCTAGCCAATCCTCCTAGATGCCATTGTGGAGTGTCGGCGCGACTAACTACTCTCAGCCAACGTGGAGCATTCACTGCCTTCTATCGCTGTGGATTGCCAGATTATGTAAGTTCTCATGAAAGCAATCTATCTCTAAGCTTGTATGCGTTTTGCACATACAATGTTACACTTGGAATATGTGTTTTTTTTTGCAGAGCGTTCCCATCTTGTGACTTTGAAGAGTACAACTATGGACCAAAATCGCACTGGCCTTCAGAGTATGAATTTGCGGAGTTTCAAGCAGGCATTAAGCCATGGCCATGCACAAAGACGCCGGACCGTAAGTGCAAGTGTGGCATCAAGGCTCGCGAAGGAGTTGTTCCGTCTGAGTTAGGATACAGATACTACTGTGGCAATGCTTGTGGAGGACCGTCTGTAGGGTCGAGATGGCGGACTAGAGGGGGGTGAATAGTCTTTTCTAAAAATTAAACACGCCGGCTAACCGAAACAAATACGAAATTAAAACTATCGATCTAGGCAAGACTACACCCATCTATCTAAGTTCACAAGCACCTTATAAATATCCCAAAGAGGCAACCAAGGTGCTTGGCTAGCTAGTGCTCACCTATGCAATTCTAACTTTCAACGTCATACAAACCTATGCAACTAGTACTTCAAGCAACAAGGGAGCTCTTACACAACTAGTAAGCAAAAGCACAAAGCTTCTAAGCTCACTAGCAATGCTCAATAACAAGGCAACTAATATCAAATTAGAGAGGGCAAAATACTTAACTACATAAACTAAGCAATGTGACTAACAAGGTTACTCAAACCAAATTAGTCACGCAAGAGCTACTTCTATGCTACACAAGCAAGAAGGCAAATAGCAAGCTACTAAAGCTAAACTAGTAACAAGAGCAACTACACAAGCACAATATATGAAATGTAAATACAAGCTTGTGTTGCGCGGAATGCAAACCACCGAGAAGATGATGAAGACAATGTTGACACGGTGATTTTCTCCCGTGGTTCACTTGGTTGCCACCAAGTGTGGGGGTATGGCCCCGGTACCCACAAGACAAGACATGGGCCGCGCCCCAAAGGTGGCTCAGCCCACAAGATCAAGGCGTGCACCGCAAGACTTTATAAAGATGTGATTTATTGTATAATACCAAATATATGATATTTTTCTTGTAACCCTACCCCTCTAGAGTATATAAGGAGAGGCAGGGGTCTCCTCGACGATATATCGAATTTGATATACAATCAATACAAAATAACAGAGCACATAATGTAGGGTGTTGCGTCAAGCTGACGGCCTGAACCTGTATAAATCTTGTGTCTTGTGTCTCTATGTTGGTGCAAAAATATGTGGTGATGCAATCAACACACAGTAAGCCGGACGATCTAAGCGAAGTCAACTCGGAGATTTGCTTGGCTTCAACACAGGACCAGTCAATCCTAAAAATCTTGAAGGCGCGCCAGTCAATTTGACCTGCAATTGACAAGGAGAGAAAGCTTATCAGTAATTTAGGGTGAAACATGCCGGTTTTACCCAGACAGTTCCAAGTATGTTGCTTTGAGAGCAGCCAAGCAGGGAAATCGACTAAATAGCCGATACGAGAAGAAATCGACTGTTAAGGACTGTGATGCTCATGGGTCATGATTGATTTATAATAACAAGTAGATATATATAACTAGTGTAAAGCATTGAGCCGATAAGTTTAACGAGAAAAGATATAACATGTGAACAAATGGACTATCTAACACAAATGAATCTACAAAAGCTCTGAATCTAATCTGTTACCATCATCAGTGAGGTTCGACCGGATCGATATAGCTATGATAATGATAACAAACTAAAGCCAAAGAATCCATAAAACCATCTATATATTGACAGGTTCATGCAAAACATGCTATAGGCACAGACAAATCGGCTAAAATAGTCGATGCATGCATAGCAAACAAACAGAGTACATATCTCGATCATGAACAAAACTATTAATCGATAATCTCTAATCCAAAGTCTTACCAGTGAGGTTCGACCGGTTGATGCAGCTATGGTAGTATCATTAGATTAAATCTCATCGACTATTGAGTTTATTCAAGATTGAAACATGTCTTTGGATGCATACTATGTTTAATTGGAATATAGATAAAACACCCGATCTAGCAGAATTAAGCCATCGATCATAAGATTCAAAGTGTGACCAGACTAGAGGACGACCAATTAAAATGATATGATGCCGATCTATCTCTATCTCAATCAGGTGATTTGTTATAATTAATAAAACATTAACTATAACAAGATCGATAATTGGTGAATCAACCAAAAACAGCAAGGAAAATCTTACTAATCTTAGCAGATTCGATAACTGGTGATATTGTGTTAAACAACAAGTTATTTAACACAAGATCGGTAACTTTGATCTATATTATGGTTTGTAAGAGATCAATCATTTGATGCAGCCTTACAAAGTAAGATACATATCGATAACTAACTTATATTATACTCGTAAAAGATCAATCGACCGATGCAACTTTACAAGTATGATACAAGTCATGATGGTACTCACAAACAAGTCGGAGGTCGATCAGTCGATGCAGCCCTGCTTGTTGAAGAACTCACCGAGATCTAAAGTACCCCTACTCCTAAAGGTTGGCGTGAAGCCAAAAAAGTAATTGTATTGATTGATTGTTCGTTGATCCTTTTACAATGGTCGGGGGTTTATATTTATACCCCTAGGCTAATGACTCCTAGCTATTCATAACGTACAAGTCTTGTCTCAAAAGAATATCTAAATAAAAGAAAATATTAAGATACATGGACTCTAGCTTTTTTTGTGTAGAATCCTTGCCAATAAAGCTTCTTTGACTGACGCATCCTTTCTTGTTCGGCTCAACCGGTAAAGCCCTGCAGGTACATTACCTTGCCGATGAATATACGTATATCCCTAATCACTACTGGAGGCCGCGGCCCGAGTGTTTTTACACTCGGCAAAGAGCCCTTTGCATTCGGCAAAGGCTTTGTCGAGTGTAGCACTCGGCAAAGTCCGCTCGACAAAATTTTTCTCGGCAAATGGTCTTTGCCGAGTGCTTTTTATCGGGGCACTCGACAAAATAAAAAACAATTTTGCTGAGTGCTTGGTGCGGCACTCGGCAAAATATTTTCGGCCGTTGCGCGCCGGCCGTTAACGGTTATTTTGCCGAGTGCCCGACCCAGCACTCGGCAATTTTTTTTTTAAATTTACTTTGCCGAGTGCCCCAGCCCAGGCACTCGGCAAAGTTTTTTTTATTTTTTTTTAAAAATTACTTTGCCGAGTGTGCCCCGCCTGTACTCTCGCAAAATTTTTTTTAATAATTTCTTTCTTGAAAGTGTCCCTGTTTAGGCACTCAGCAAAGAATTTCTGGATTTAAAAAAAATACTTTACCGAGTGCCGCGGCGAGGCACTCGGCAAAGAATTTTTTTTTTGAAAAAACTTTGCCGAGTGCCTTGCCCATGGCACTCGTCAAAGACTCCGAGAATTGTAATTTTTTTACATTCCATTGTAACAGACAATATATATATATGTGTGTGTGTATACATCAATCATCACATCTATATCACCAACATGCATTATATATCACAAGCACATGCATATTTAATAAATCCATCGAAAATCCATCACAAATGCACCAAAGTTCAACATCACAAGTTTATTATTACAAGTTCAACATCACAAAGTTCAACATCCCTCTCATGGGGCGACGGAGATCGCAGTGTGGCCCCTCAGACAATGAAGAAGGACCGGATCATGGGTGAAGGGTTGACGTGATCAGCCGCCGGTGACACACTAGCGGGATTGTTTGAACCCGCCAATGAAGGCTACACAAAAGAGAAGAGATTGCATGAGTTAGACTCAAAATTGAAAATTTCGGCAGCACCTCCCCTGCACGGGGAGGTTTCCAACCTGCAAGAAACAACGGCACGAAGGCCGACAATCACAATGGCATGAACACATTAAACTTTTATACTCACAGGAGTGAAGTGTCGAACCGGAGCTGGAGCTGGCAACTGCACTTGGACACCCGATGCTTGCCCGATGGTTTGCATGATCTGATACATGTCCGCCATCTGCTTCTTCGTGGCCTCCACTCTCACGGTCAAAAGCGCTTATGCGTCTCCTTGTCTCTGCCAAATCGACTGCGGTGTTTCAATCACATGTTTCAGTATTGCAAATCTGATCAATGTGTGTAACGTTTAATGTACGATGAGTGAAACCGGAATTACCTGAAGTTCGTCGACCCGCGATAGTGTTGGAGTAGGCCGTGCACGTATGGGAAGGCTTCTAGCCATGCTCCGTGCCCTCACGTCGGAGAGAGAGGGTGCAGAGCTCGAGGAGTCAGCACCGTCTGCAATCCACAACCGCCCGTGCTTCCTGCCTTGCCCCAGCCTCACGATCACCTCTGTCTCAAGGGGCTTAGTGCTCAGATTGTGATCTGAGCCATGGAGCGCCCTAACCGCCTCCGTGTAGTCTTTGACCTTAGCATGGACGCTCGGGTCAGAGTAAGCCTGGGCAGGGGAATCCGGGTTGAAGACGACACCGGATTTCACCGGGCCCATGTGGACACACACCCATGCCCCAAACTCCGACACACCTTGCGTCGTCCGGTGTGCCCTCCTGCGAGAAAAGATGGCAAGATGATTAGAAATCAGGCAAAATTGAGCGTTAGAATAGATAAATGACATCTTGTACAAGTGCCCGCTTAAATGCGGGGAGGTTGCGGCTGCCTTGGTGGTGAGTTGGAGCAGTCCTCAGTGCCCGCTTCCGCTTGCCTTGGTCGTGCTTTGTGATGTACGCCGGGTCAAGGTACCTGTCCATGATCCTCGACCATGCCGATCTATGCGACATGCACCACGAGGCAGGCACCTACACATCATCAAGTGTTTGACATATAAGAAGATCAATTCTGGACCTACTAAATCTCAAAATGAAACAATATTATTCACCTACCTGAAGGTACTGCTCCTTGGTCAGCGCCACCTTTCTTGCGCTGGTTTTGTTGAGGGGCTCTTTCTTGATGGACCTATAGTAGTCGACGTGGGCCTGGAGTCACGCCTTGTGAATCATGTCGCCGACGCATTTCTTCTGTGCTCACGTGTGCCATCCCGATCCGCTTAGGGTCTCTCTACCTTCTTCGACCTTGAAGTACCTCTCGCATACAAACACGATGTATCCGCTTATTATTTCAA